TAACAGTCTGATCAAAGAACTATTATAGTCCACTTACAGTGATACTAAGACTATTCAAATTGTATACAGTTAAAATGATACACCCACAGACTTTCTAGCATCTACCCCTTTCTCTGGTGTTATGCTCATCCTTCTAAGGTCAATGGCTTCAGTCTGGTGTGGGGGAGTGCTGTATGGTGAGTCGTCAGCATCCCAAGGTCTTTCCTGGGCGAGGTATGACATTGGTGCTACCGGTTTCTTCCCCCTCACTAGGATTTGCTTGGGGTTATTTCTATGCTGGGTAACACGCTCTACACCTTGCTCCTTCTTCAGTAGTCTGCAAGCCCACATTACACCTGAATTTACTATACACTATGTGTGTTTTGCATATGTCTTTGTTACCCCAAGGACTGGGGGGTAACCCAGCTCCCAAGGCTGCGTTTCTTTGACCAGTAACTGACCACTGGTGAGTTGTTCATAGGCCTGGGGCCTCTGGTATCATCCTGTGCCAAGACTTTCAAGACCTCTGCTCTCATCCCATGTTTGTACTCCTCTGTGCTGCATTTTATTCTGTTATTCACAGTTCATTCTGCACAGAATAACTACTTGTTATTACTAGCTATTGTTATATTTCTGTAACTAAGTGTTACATCACAGAATTGTACAAAGATAAGCAAAAGCTAAAACAAAGTAGGTAACAGTCACCTGGTCATTAGATAACTGGTGTTACAGCTAAAAGAGCTAAAACAAATCTCCAGACAGGCCAAGACAAGTCCAGACAAAGCCTGACAAGTCCTGAGGCCTGTGTTGTTAGCTTAACACAGAGCCCGTGGCCTGGTACAAGCAATGGCAACACCAGATTTACTGGGCTACAGGGGTAGAACTGATCAAGGCCTCAGCATGAAATGGGGGAGTGTGAAGTAGAGGAGTCTGAGGGACAGTGAAAGGATAGGGGGAAGCAGGGAATGGGGGCGCTTTAATTGTTCTGAAGGGTTTTGGGGTATGGAGAGAAAATTAATACAAACAGGAAAAGGAGGCAGAGGTTGGGGGTGGAGGGGGAACAGAAGGATAACAGAGAAGGGATGGGAATTGGGGTTAGGAAGGAAGCTGAAATAATGAGGGCAAATGTGAGGGACTAGAGGTGGGATCGAGGGGCAGAGCTGTTTTCAATTCTACTCAGCCCTGGTGAGGCCACACCTGGAGTGCTGTGTCCAGTGCCTTGCTCCCCAGTACAAGAGAGACATGGAGCTCCTGGGGTGAGTCCAGCAAAGGGCTACAAAGATGATGAGGGGACTGGAGCATCTCTCCTATGAAGAAAGGCTGAGAGAGCTGGAACTGCTCAGCCTGGGGAAGAGAAGACTGAGGGGGGATCTGATCAATGTGTTCAAGTATCTGAAGGGAGGGCGTCAAGAGGATGGGGCCAGACTCTTCTCCGTGGTGCCCAGCGACAGGACGAGAGGCAACGGGCACAAACTGAAACACAGGAAGTCCCGTCTGAACATGAGGAGAAACTTCTTTACTGTGAGGGTGACTGAGCACTGGACCAGGTTGCCCAGAGAGGTTGTGGCGTCTCCTTTCCTTGGAGATATTCAAAAGCCGTCTGGATACAATCCTGGACAACGTGCTCTAGGTGACCCTGCTTGAGCAGGGGTGTTGGACTAGATGATCTCCAGGGGGTCTCTTCCAGCCCCAAGTGCTCTGTGATTCTGAGAGAAACAGAAGGAAAAGGATGTGTGCAGGACTGGGATCCATCACTGTCAGCTTGGAGGTGAGTCTCTGGTGCCTCCCTGCCTTTAACTTATACTGTCCATGGTTTGTGACTGAGCTGGTCACCTCTACTGGGGCTTTCCCCATCTCTCAGTCAACAAATCTCTCTTTGTGTTAGCCGAGCGTAACCCCAGCTTCCCTCCCAGGGCTCCGCCAGCTACTCTCACTACACAAGCATAGACCTGGCCGGGCTAGGCAGGTTCTGTACAGGGCCACCCTGTGACCATCATGGCAATGCCCCATCTCATGCCAGTATGGCCAGCAGACTGGGCTGGAGTTGCTGCTTTGCGGTGGGAGGATGCATACATGGTCTGGTCTTTGTGCTTGCAGAGGAACAGAAGGTTGCCCTCCTCTTTCTGCTCTCAAAGCAGCCCTTGAAAGGTTGCTTTGAGGGTGTTTGCTCATGGCTTTTCAGCACCAGCATCATACACGATGCTTGTGGGCTCAGTAACTGCTCCTGCTGTTGCATTTCCTATAGCCAAAATACTGACAATGATGTCCTGCTGCTTCTGTTTGACATTGTCTCCTCCCCCCCAAAAAAGAAGAAGCTGCCTCGCACTACAGATGGGACAGAAAATGTTTCTGCCCATATTAGCAGTTGGGGCGGGGGGAGGGGGGGGGAGGAATGACCTTTGACTACTTCTGTAGCTAAACTGCAGCAGCAGCAAACTGTGACTTTATTTGGAAGTTTATCCTTGGTCCTTCCTGAAGTAAAAAGCCTAGGTAATTCTTGCTGTGATGGGCTTCTCAGTCCAGACTCTCCAGGGAAAGCTTGGGAGGTCTATGTTTCCTTGGTTTGGGGGGGAGGGGGGAGGAGTTACACCTGTTACCCAAATACTAGTCTTCTGCTTTGCACAGCCCTTGAGGAACAAGACAATGAGTTGCCATTTACGCATCTAGGAACTGGCTCCTGTGAGGTAGCTCAAGCCAAGAGTTAGCCGTATCTGGTCTGTCAGCTCAGCAAGCACCAAAAAGTCCATGGGTAGCTGTTTTTTGTACAAGCTCATGTTCTCAGCTGTTTTTCATTTTTGTGCTACCTTTTTTTTTTTAATTGCACCTTGAAAGGCAAGATATAGATTTATTTTTGCTTGGTTTAGCTTTGTGCTTGTTACATGGTGTCTTCTGCCCATCTTGTGCACACTTGGGTTGGTTCTTATGTGCTAGGAAACAATAATGCCACCACCCAAGTCTCTGTTCCTTGGAGGCTGTCACCAACTGTCCAGAGCCATGTTGCACATGGTAACAGACCTCTCCTCCTGTTGCTACCAGAGAGCAGAAAGCCATCCTCTCTGCTGCCTTCCCTTCATAACTTCTGTTGTATGGTCTCACCATCTTCTGAAGGCACTCCCTGTCCCTGAACCATGTTTTAGGGTGCTGGTTGTATTGGTCAGCAGGCACATAAATTTGTTCTTCACCAACTGCCTGTCCCTCTAGCAGGGTGGCTATGTGTGTTGCTCACATGACAGATGCCTTTGCCTAGCTGCCCCTGCCCCTTCCAATTTGGTGTAGCAGTTCATCCAGGTGCATGTGCTGAGTGTAGCTGACTGCGCAGGGAGCCCCGGGAACCGCGCAGAGGGGTTGCTGATGGGAGGCTGCTGGAGGCATGGGTCGGACGCTCAGGCAGGACTCGACTCATTGTATCCTAAGGGCCCCTTAAATCTACTAGAGCTATTTCCTTATCTCAGCTGTGCTAACCTTGAGTAGCTACTGTCCGGGAAGCAGCTAGACATTGCTGACAGAACAGAACATGCATGCCTGGCCCTGACGGGAATCTGGTCAGTGTGTAGTTTCACACGCTGGGGCTGCTACCACATACTCTGCCAGTCACTGACTCCTCGCCAGGTCTCCCGCAGGTGTTCTCACTACAAGAACCCATGTTGTTACACTCACCTTGGTTTGACTGCGAGCTGAATGTAGCAAGAAACTGCCTGCAGGATTCACATACACACACCCACAGATGTTTTTTTGGTTTTTGTTCTTTTTTTTCTTTGGATGCTTTGGAATTGATCATTGGGATGTTATTCATTTTCCATGATTATTTATTTATTTAAGCACTTAATTTCTCTCACCTTCACCAAGTGAGGTTGTATACGTACAGGGCTGTATTAGCAAGAGCGCAGCCAGGAGGTTGAGGGAAGTGAGTCATCCCATCTATTTGGCACTGGTGAGACCACACCTGGAGTCCTGAGTCCAGTTTTGGGCTTCCCAGTACATACTGGAGTGAGTCCAGTGGGAGGCCACCAAGATGGTTGGGGGCTGGAGCACGTGATATACTAGGAGAGGCTGAGAGAATGAGGTTTGTTAGCCTGGAGAAGAGAAGGCTCAGGGGAGACCTTATTCCTGCCTACAACTACCTAATGGCAGGGTGTAGAGGAGATGGAACCAGTCTCTTCTCAGAGGTGCACAGTGGTAAGACAGGGCCTATTTTTTTGGGAACTCTTGAGGACATCAGTTATTTTAGCCTTCAAGCAGAAGTTTAAGATATTATGGAACTATTTCAGGAGTTTCCCTCAAAGCATCAGAAAAGAGTCTGAATAATGATATTCTGTGCCCCCCCCAATCTTCATTTGTCCCAGAGCTATTTGTTTATCAACACACTATTCTCCCTTCTCTCATACCTGCAACTAGTTCCTTGCTCTATATTTCCATCTGCTAAAATGCTGACCAGAATTCTAATCACGTCATTTTTGGAGGAGGGGAAATCTATTTCAACTGCCTCCTCCAGCTTCCTCCCTTGGCCCATCTGAAATGCAGCAAACAAACATACATGCTTTTAAGATTTAATTGGATTACATGCAACAACATCAATCCTAAACTTAATAGTGCAGCAGAATAAACTCATGGCCTGGTTAATAGCCCCAGCTGTAAGTGCAGCAATCCCTGAGCTGGCTCTTCTCAAGCCTGGAAGCAGCATAGTTATTTTCACTTGGTCTTATGGCTCAAGTCAGCAGTAACCTACAGCTCTCCATGCACTACAAGCAACAGCATCAATGACTGCTCTCTTTCCCATTGCACCTTGACTGCAGTTCTTATTACCTAGTTTACATCTGCTTTGTATTATCTGTGTTAATGTCACTCCACTGTGATCCTGGATAATCACCTGCTGGCTGCAGAAGGCACTACTAGCTGACATCTTATACAGCAAAGAGCACTTCAGGTTCAAACCCATATTTTTAACTGTGCTTTAATCTCTCCTTATAATAGAGGAACAAATAGAGAGAAAGCAGGCATTAAAATTTTATAGAAGCCTTTATTTACAACTTGTTTAACACCTGTACACTTTTCTATAGCTTTGGAAGCATTAGTGTATTTGACTGGGAAAAAATATTAACTGTTTTAAATCTAATGACCGTTACCAAGTATCTTTGTCTATGTACAAATATGTATAGTAATACCACAACCATGAAACCCTGGTAGTTACAGAATTCATAGGTGACCTGAAATGGGAAATTAATGTTTTGACACTCTAGGAATCTAATTTCTTACAGAAAAATAAATCATTGGCAATTTCACAAACAGTTATTTTTGGTAACTGGACAATGCCTAATAACAGCTTGTTTGGCAGCCCTGAATTAAGAAAGTAAAACAGTTTTCTGTGCAGCACAAATAAAGTTAGTATATCATAGACATGCTGGAGATCACCTCTGAGTTGTGACTGAAATTTGCAATCACTTAATGACAGAGATGCTAGGCTAATCTAATTAAAATAGGAAGCACATTTGCTGGAAGTTACTAGCTCCACCTGACATTTCTCTGCTATATTAAGTGGACTCAAACAGCTTTTGTCAAGCTAAACACACTTCCACATAAGTGCTTTCAGGCTCAAGAACAACTGATACTCGGTCACTAAAGGCAGAGACTACTTGGAAAAAATGAGGTACAGCTCTACTATGTCTTGGGACATCCATCCAAATGACTACAAAGCATAGCCAAACCCTCTCACCCAACACAGAACTCCCAGCATCAGGAGTCCCACAGCTAATGGGACCTCACCCCTTCCCCAAGCCACAACAGCAACAGTCTTTGCAAATGGGAAATACATCATACACCAAATTCCCAAGAAGGAAGAGAAGGCATTTTTCATACAGCTTGCTCTGATGCTTAACGAGAGAGCTAAGACTTGAATGAAAGCCCAGGCTTGGTATGCAGCTTTAGAAAACCACTCACCTCAGGACTTAGGCTGATCAGAGCACTACTTATCTCTGCTGGATAAATAAGTGACATGTTATTGCCCAAAACTCTATTTCTCCCTAGAGGCCAAGTCACTCCACTGCCCCTGGATGCTGGGGGAATCACGAAGGACATGTCTTCATCTCCTAAACAGTAAGGAGCCTTCCCAGATTGCTGAAAGCCAGTGAGCATCTGGCAGCCATGAAACTCTCAAAGTTCTCAAATTCAGAAGAGAGAACAGAGGCCCAAACTGTATACTTCTCTTCCTTCAAAGGAAGGGATAGGGAGAGAGAGAGAAGGGTCTGGTATCATACCCTGAGTCCTTCACTTCTCCTAAAGTGTCTGTCTAGAGTTCAGTCCTCACCTGCACTTCCCCTCATAGGATGGCAGAGACCTTCCTGTGCAAAAGGAGGCAGGGACAAGCTGTACCTCCAAATCACTCCGCATATCACTACCTCCATAGCAGGTGTCAGGGTCCCCGAGGACTAAACAAATGCAGGTGTCCCAGCATAAGGTGCAGCAAGCTGCCTAACATCTCACTTGATGGGCCAGGGACTAGGCTCATACTGTGTTTGGTGAGTGGAAGTGGCTGCAGAGACTAGTAGATGCTTATCAGTACTGGTTGTCCACATACAAAATGAAAATACAGTAGTACAAATATGCAGATATTTAAGACTATTAAATAAACAGTTATTTACAATTAATATAAGCAGCACAAAATATTGAGTTATACTGTCTTAATACAGCATAGTCTTATAGCATAACATAAAGAAACAGCCACACTAGTGCAATTGGAAATGAAATAGCTAAATTTAAAAAAAATTGAGAAAAATAGTACAGGTAAAAGATAAATTCTCCAAATTATAAGCTAGCAAGGGCAGTCTGCATAATACTGTAAGTATAGACTGCTTTCATGCTCATTATCACCAGTCATGGTTTTTTTCCTCAGACTGTTTAACAATTGTATACAGTTTAAAAAAAAAAAAGTTTCTGAAGGAAACAAACAAAAGCAAAAACATATAGAAAAAAATACAACAGCCACAAACTACTGGGTATATACATAATAATGAAGCAGGCAGTATCTGTAAACAAAATAATGTATGATAGTTTGCCTGTCTCAGAGTTTATCAGATGAACCCTGCTCTAGTTTTCCAAGGAAGATGGGCTGGCTAAACAGTGATTCATAATTCATTTCTCCTGGGAGAACACACTTTCTTGGCTTAACTTTTAATTATTTAAAGACTCCAGGTGGATCCTTTAAGGGTACAGGTGCTTTAAAATTGCAACAGTAACCAAAGGTGCTTTTTATGAGCCCATAAGACTAGATTTTTCATATACTGAGCTATAAAATGTTGCAGGAAGTCTGTGTGTTAATACTGTTAATCAGAAGTGGATAGACAGAAGTAAAATGGAGAGCTGACAGTGCAGAATGCCTTCTCTGAACTTCTGAATAATGTGTTTCCTTTCCTTTAGCTTCATAGGTGACTTTTTGTGAAGAGGAAAAAAAATGGAAGAGGGAAATGGGAAAGCCACTCCCCAAGATGGTAAGCTTCTCTGCAAGTGAACCTCTTTGAAAGCAGATGCCCATGAGTTTTAATCGTAGAACTGGTTTAAGCTTTGGTTATGCAGTCTGGACAGAAAAGCAAGACATGCACTGAACAGTTCCTGTTATAATAATGCTGCAGGTCATGCAACCACATCACTGCAAATAAAAAAAATAAAGAAAAAAGTTAAAAAGCAGCAAACATCATTACTGTTAAAAACAAGAACAGAACAGGTATTTTCAAAGCAATTTAGTAAGGCTGTCTCTAGTTAAAGTTGTGCAAATTCATGGGGAAAACTTCTTTGTTAGGGCAACTCTTCTGATTCATGGGACAATTACATGCCAAAAATAAAAGCAACAAAAGTGAGTCTTTAACAATGTCTAAACTCAGATAAATTTGAATATTTTCTAGTAAGAGCCTAAAGGGCACCACTCTCAACTAACACAACTATGAAATTAGTCCACACAGCTAATGAAAACACCTCACTCATTCTTGCTGAGTGCATTCAGTTAAAAAAACAAAACTAAGACACAATATGAAGTGAAAGGTGTCTGTCCAAGACCATGTATTGTTGTCTACAGAAAGACAACAGAGGTTGTAACTCCTCTACGTGAGACTTCAAGCTTTGAGCACCAGAGAAAACTCTTAAAGATTAAGTGTTTATCTTTGATCAAAGCCCACCCTGTGTTCAATGTTTAAAAATGCAGTGTCATATTACACTGGCAAGCTCTATTCATTTCATGCAATTTAATTTTTTTTCAGCACATGCAAATTATAGGTATTCCTACTAAAAAGCAGACTAGGAGCCACTGAATAGTCTGCACAGCACATCACAGTGCTATGTAGCAATACTTAAGCCAGCCTAGGTACAGAACAGCATAGGAGATGTTGGCATACTGCCTCCATTCTGGCTATTATATCCTCTTTATTGGCATATGGAATTGTCCAGGTGAAATGCTTTGCTAACACAGCTATGGTGCTTTCAGCTCCCCCCACAAACACAAATATCTCTACACAACACAGCAGTATCTGCTCATCCTGATTTTCTCTTGTCATTGGACTGAATTCACATTCTGTGAATTATAGTTATTCCCCCCCCCCCAACTATTGCACTGATCAGGAAACTAATCTAAGAACACTTCTTGTGGCAAGAGAATCCAGATTGACTATAAGGGGAAATATGACTAAACTCAAAGACTTCTTGCAAAAAAAAAAAAATCATCTTATAGTTATGAGTCTTATGAGCTTGTGTATCCCTCCCTTTTCATCCTTGTGTTTCAACCCAGAAGACTAAAAGTAGTCAGAAAGTACACAGGAAGAACAGGCATAAGAAATCAAATGAAATAAAAATAGAGAATGCATAAAATGAACACATTCAAAGCAGAATTTGAGAGTGTATTTTGAATAATGCCTGTTTGAAGTGTGCTGTTATGCACACAAGCACTGCTAAGCAAGCATAAAGTTAGTATTCAGGATTAATAATATGAATATTACTGTAGTTAAGTCCATAAAAATTAAATGTTCAAGCTATATAAGAGTGCATCTATTCTACTACATATAAATGAATACAGCCTGTCCTTTATTCTCACCTGGATATGACCTATTTCAGATCTGCTGTGTGGTAGCATCTCATTAGTCCTGTTGCACATTAAGAGAACTGATATTAGAGTTTTGTCTTTCAGGTGTATTTTATGAGGGAAAAAAAAGTTAAAGTCTTGTAAACTCTGGACAATGTATTCTCTTTCAAGAATGTTACATAATACCCTGATTCATCCAAGAAGATATTAGTGCTCTTCTGACTAGAAATTTTCTTTCGTTTTGAAATGAGAAAAGAGTTGTTTTTTTTTTTTCCTTTCAGGAAACACCTGAAATCAAAATCAGTAAAAGCAACATTTCAAAAGAGAGAAATGCAAGCTGCAAGGGTACATCCACTGCTGGCATAACCTGTCATTACTTCTGTGGCTTCATCAGAATAGGACAATTCATTCAGCAGAGAATTGGTCTATAGAAAAGAGTGACTTTCTCTTATTTACTTCCCTTGCCAGCACAGAACATTCTGATTCTAAATAGCTGAAGTAATGCTGCTATCATTGCTAGCCTGGGGGATTATTCCTTAGTAAGGAATCTCCCTTCAGTATTCAGTGTCAAACCTCATTAGCTCTACTTCATCAAGTGGCTATCATGCCTTTAAAAAAAATCTCAACTTCTCTCTGCTCTTCTGGTTTTTGAATGCACAGAAGTGATTTAGACATCTCCAGGCCATCTCAACTGCAGAAAGGATGGCAACCACTACTTGTCACCATCCTCATCAGCTCTGGAGGTACCTATCCACATGTGCACTATACTTCAAAGCATGCTTATAGTAGTCTTTCAAGCCAAATCAGATATAAAGAACACTACACTTCCTCTTAGGTATTTTTGGTCCTAAGATGGACCAGGATTTGTGTAGCTAATGATCTGCTGTCTCTAAGTGCCGCTCTGCCACACAGTCACTAAAGCAATCAGAGCAATGCAATCTGTTTAAAGTCCAGCACTATATGCATTCATTTTCCAAGTA